TCTATCTATCTATCTATCTATCTATCTATCTATCTATCTATCTATCTATCCATATCTTAATCTGCTTTATTATTAGTATATGGACTTTTGGTAAGGAAACTCTTTTTAACAACACAAATAAACAACTCTTCTTAGAAAGTTGTCTTAGCTACTGAGAGGTTAAGTAACTTGTCAAAGATGGAAGGACTAGAACCTAGATCTTTCTGGCCCTAAGACCAGCCCTCTATCCACCAAGGTAAGCTAACTCATCATTATCATCATCAAGAGGAAGGGAATAAGATAATTCAATCTGCCTGATGAAGGAAAAGAAAAGGAATTACTATGACATTAACAACATTTCTATTGAATATAACCATGGTTCTTTACATAACAATGTGCAAATCATAAAACACAATTCTTTATTCATACCTGCTCCACCACCTATGCTTAGAATGTTAATTTCTGACTTTGTGTCTCCAATCCTGAAAATAAAAGATATTTACATATTTTAAAATGGGTGCTAGGTGCTGTGGAAAATCTGATTAGAAAGTTTAGTTGTAGATAACACAACTCCTCCCCTTCCCCCCCAAAAAATATGGAACAAAATCTCTACAACTGGGAGCAAAAAACAAACAAAAAACTTTGATGTTTGTCTCCTTCAATAACTCAGTCCCACAAACATTAATTCAGTGCCTCTTGGTAAAGCGCTATACTAAGTAATGAGGACCTCACACAACCAACCAGTCCTTTTCCTCAAGAAAGATTGTGCATCTTTGGATACAGAGAAGAATTTGGAGAGGCACTAGGAGATAAAAGGAGGAGTGAACTGAATGATCCCTAAAGTCTCTTCCATCAATGCTATTCTATGACTTTCCTATCTGGCTTTGGGCATGTCCCTTTGCCTCTCAATGTCAGTTTCCTCATCTATAAATTGAGAGAAGAGGAACAGAAGAATCTGTGTGGACATGGGAAAGCTGACCTAATCAGTGAGAAGAAGGTTTCTATCCTGGGTTCATAGGACTTAAGATCAAAAAACTTGGAGTGAAACCTCATGAATTTCTATTAAGTTGATATTTTTCAAATCATGTCAGAACATTCAACAAGATCCTTCACAGGTGCCTTCCTTTATTCAAAATCTACTTCAAACTTCTCTCCCAAGGAGACTTCCAGCCCAAATATCCCTTTGCTTTTATCACCTAGCATTTTAGGGCAAACATGCATATTGCTTTTGAAAATTCCTAGGTTTTTTTTGTTTGTTTGTTTGTTTGTTTTGGTTTGTTGTTTTATTTTGTTTTTAACCTGGACTCCTGTCATGTACACCCAATGAGAATGGACATCCAGTGAGTACGGTCACTGTTATCTTTTATTTCCTTTGTATGAATACAAATAGCCCCACTGCAAATTCTAGGTGATAAATAAATAAATGAAGAAATGAATGAATGGACAAATAAATCAGTAAACAAACAAACAAGTTAATAAATAAGCATCTGGTATTTCCATGCAGTACATCATCAGGTTGTGAATAACAGTACCAGGCCTGTTTCACATCATGCATTCTATACTTGCTACCTGTATGACCTTGGACAAATCACTTAACCTCTCTGGGACTCGGTTTCCTTGAAAGTTAAAGGAATGGGTTTGACTAGATGAGCTTGAAGGTTTCTTCCAGCTGTAGGTCTGTGCTCTCTCTATATAGCCCATATATAATATATTCTATTATACTTCCATAAATATTTTTGGGGGTTTGTTTTCTATTGGGGCACTCCTTTCTTGTATGAGTTAGACTAGATAGGAACTAAGGTTCCTTCCAACTGTCAAATTCTGTGATTCTATAATATGCCAAGGCTCTGTAATTTCTTTGATATGGAATACTGACTCCACGAACATAGATCACAGCCCATCCACAACTTAAATGATGGTCTTAAAGAGTCACAGGAGTCAAAAATTCATCCTCTTAGGCCTAATCTGTAGATGAATTTAGTTAATTTTCACTAGGCTGGTGCTATGACAACAGACCTACAGTCTGTCACCTAGTGTCTAATGGAAGCCTCTCTACCATAGAAAGGCTTGTCAAAATTTATGCTCTGCTGGCATAACCTTCCAGAATCCAGCCTCACTTAAATACCGGGTAAAGAATTAGAGTAGGACCTTAATATTCTATCACAAGGAAATAAAATGCCATTTTTACACTGAACTCCTGGGACATAACTGTTTTGTCCCTAGAAAAAGAAAACAAGCAAGGCTTGGGAAAGGCAAAGGGGATCCTATTAAAATTCAAGCCAAGGACTCCCTTGTCTGCTATTGTCAGACAGGCCCAATGACAAAATTTAAGAGAAACCGGAGTGAAAACCAGGGAAGGAGAGAATTTAGGGATTTGATGCAGCTATAGATAGGATCTAAGGCTCACCCATTTCAGTATCTTTTTCCCTGGCCCCAACCCAACACTTGTGTTAATGTATTGAAATCCACATCCCCAAGGCAGGAGATTTGATTATCTTTAAAGTTTAGGATCTAGTCCTCTCATAATGCTTATCAGCCCCACCACAAATTGAACACATTCATCACCAAAAAAAAAAAAAATGAACCTCATGGATTGTAGGGGAGTAAGTCTGTTTCACTGATAATGGGGAAACTCTCTTTTAAAGGGTCATACAGCTAATACCAACCTGAAAAGTAGACATTAATGATTTTTCTTTTGGTAAATGATAAATGAAATGATAAATCATAATAATATATAAGGAAACATATTTAAATGGATATTACTAAGGCTAAGGGGCACCCAGTCCTTTTCAGTGGCAAATGCTATTTAATGACTGTTTAAAATTCAGGTTAATCCAGAAAACATAAATGGAGGAAACCCTATCTGGGACCTGGCGATAATATGAATGATCTTTGTTCAGTAGAAACAGAACTGAACAGGTACAACCAATACCAGGAGAGTTAAAAATGATGTCCAGTGATAGGTCAAACTTTAGGCAAGTGGGAAGGGAGGGGGTTGGTGAAAAGAAGGAAGGAAGGAAGGAAGGAAGGAAGGAAGGAAGGAAGGAATGGAGGAAGGAAGGGAGGGAGGGAGGAATGGAGGGAGGAGGGAAGGAGAGAAGGAGAGAAGGAGGGAGGGGGGAAGGAGGGAGAGAGAAAGGAATGTAAATATATGAGTTTAAAAGCTTTTTATCTTTTCACCCCAAAAATGTACTCAGTGCCTGGAAATTGTTAACTCTTATCTACGACTGGCTGGAAAGGCTCCAATTGCAAACTCGGCCATTGGGTGGAATGTCTAAATGTAAGGTTGGACTGAAGCCTTTTGGTTGGGGGAGGGGCGGAGAGGGAGGTAGGGGACAGGGAGGGGTGGGAAGAGAATGAGAAGCAGAAGCAATCCGTATCTCTCCCCTAGCCACGGCATGCCCAGCCTCGGTTCCTCCCGCAGCATGCATTGATCACTTTGCACGGATTGTGGTTTCCCAGGGGTCTGTCCTTCTGGAGAAAGCGTCTGTCTTTTGTTACCTTGCTATAATGCCTGGCAGCTTCTCCTCAATGAAATTCTGCATGCACTGGTGCTCCGTGGAATTAGCCAGAAACCGGCGAAAAGCTTCAACGTATCTGCCATGATCAGAAAACAAGCTCCTCATGGAAGATGCCATGTTTGGTTTTCTGAGAAAGGCAGAAGGGGAAGGGAAGTTTCTCTCTCCCCTCCACCGCTCCTCCTCCTGGCCACCACCCTCTTCCCATCCCCCAGCCCAGAACTTAGACTTGTGGGGAGCAGGTCACCAGTGGCTGCCACTGGAGCGGGACTCATTGGCATATAAAATGCCCCACTGGAATTGGTTCCAGAGACTTTAACCCCTGCTGAATTGTTATTTTAGTGAAAGGGAGAAAAGTAGTAAAACCAGGCAGTAAATCCCACTGCTGAAACTTTGGTTTCAAACCTCAGGGGGCTTTTTTGCTAGACCTATAAAACCCAAGATTACTTTGGCTTCATTTCCTATTTCTCCTGTGGTTGTCCCAGCGAAGTCAGCTCCAAGTAGAAAAGCTAAATATCTGAAAAAGCCAAAGAAACCTCAAACTTAGGAAAGCATTAGCCATTATGGATACAAAATCATACACTAAAAGCAGGATGGATGGATTTGTTGTCTCTCTCCAAACCCTTGGGGGAAAATACTGTCTTTTCTAATTCTCTGAATGGAAAAAAGTTCAACAAGTGACATTTTAATGTTAATTTGACCTTTAGAAAAATTGATATGATATGAAAAATATGGAACTTGGATCATATTTCTGCTAGTATCTTTCTTTTTTAAATAGAAGACTAGTCTTGGAAAGCTGACAAGCAGGAAGAAGTGAAGTCATAACTAGGATTTTTTGCAGGGGAAGACAGACTTAGTTGGGGACTGTTAGGGGAGCAGGACACCAGGATATGAAGAGGAGACAGTCAGTTCAGTATACTAGGTGCTGGAGAGACTACCATGATAAGATGGAGAAGGCAGATGCCTCACTTGGTTGTGTGTTGGGGTTGGCAGTAATACTGACTTCAGGCCACTGCTGGAACCCAGATGACTAATGTTGCAGGGCAGGAGCTCACCCCAGCATGGCAAAGGATTTCAAGTACTTTCAGGCCCTTATAGATTTTGTACCACGGGAAAAAAAACCAAGATGCCTCACTCTAGATGTGCTTAGGTAAGATGATATAATGAGCTGGTGAAAGAAAGGAGACTGGCAAGGGAGGTTGGGGGAAATAAGTGTTGCTAGTAATTCCCAGGCCTAAAGAGATGTTCTGGATTCAGTCAAGCAAAGTGCTGGCCTGTCTAAAGCACACTTTATTTAGTGCACTCATAATCTTTATTAATTCATTCAATCAGCTAGCATTTATTACCTATGATGTACCACATGCTATATTGTCTGGTGATATATAGAAAAAAAAAATCCCTTACTTTAAGGAGCTTACAATCTACTGGGAGAAAACTACATGTACACAGATAAATAAGTACAATGTACATAAAAAGTAAATACAATTTCCCTGGAGAAGACACTAACCAACTGGGTGATAAGAAAAAGCCTAGCCTAGAAATTGTCTTAAGTCAAATCTTGAAGTTAAGAAAGGGATTTTAAGAGCCAGAAGAGAAAGGACAGCAGAGAGTTTTTAGTATTTTAGTATCTGGCATTTTAATGGTATTTTAGAATTCTTAACCCTGTAAGAGAGCTTGTTGACAAGTTCACCCTCTTACCAAATACACTAACCCCCACCTTGCCCTACTCCTAAAAAAATTTTAATCTTCCCAGGATTGAGCATTTCTAGTGAACTCATAAGGAAGTACATTACACATTTAAACAGCTCTAGTTGGTTGCAAGTTCTTCCTTATATGGTATCAAAATCTACTTCCCTATAACTTCCATGCACTTGTCCTATTTCTCCTTTTGAAGCCATATTGGTTAAATATCACTGTTTTTTTTTTCCTTCAAATATTTGAAACAATATCAGTTTTATCTGCCCCAAGCTAAATATGCTATAGTTTTGGGGGTTTTCCCTCCATTATTCCTCATGATATTGTTTACAGACCTCTTGCCATCCTGGTTGGTTATAGTATCCTGTGTATTTTCAAGTTTGTTGGTTTCTAGAATTGGTATCACCGTGATACAGTATGATGATGGGATTATTACAGTGTTTGGTCTGAACACAATGCTTCTGTTACTGTAACATAAGATTTTCATTATTTTTTTTAGGTTGCTACATTCACACAGTACAAAGGATTATAAAATGATAGATTTGGAGGTGGAAGATTTCAGAGGTTATCTAACCCAACCTCCTCTTTTTACAGATAAATAATAAACAAAGGCACATAAAAATGAAGTGACTTGCTTAAGGTCATGCAGGAAGTAACTGACAGAATCAGATTTCGAGCTTGAGTTGACTCATATATGTAGAATCCGCAGACAGCTAAAATCCTAGGGTCCCGTCCCCATTATTAGCTGTTAAGCTTGTATCTTTCATCTTCTTGTACAGTTGATTCTTTGCACCAAAGCACAGAATTTTCTATTTATCACTACTAAATTTCACATCATTAGTTTATTCTTACTAATCCAGATCTTCTAGAATATTGCTCCTGTTAGCCAACATATCCAGAAATTAAGTATAAGTGCATTATCAAAACTTCATATAGACAGTGTGACAGAATGGATAGTCTTGGAGGAAGGAACACAAGTACTTTCCCTGACACATGTTAATAGGATGGCCTTGGGCAAGTCTCTTCTCTTCTTTCTTATCCAGATGAGATTCTAAGATTACAGGTTACTGTTCTACATTAATGGATGGAGTACCCTCATCAGCAGTTCCTCATTCTAATGAAATCATAGGCCCATCCACCCCACTCAAAAGAAAAAAAATTAAGAGAAAGTCTTTATAGGATCATAGAATTTCAGAACTAAGGAAGGAACTACAGAGGCCATCTAATCCACCCTCCTTGTTTGACTGAAGTAAAGTGACTGGCCCAATGTCACACAACAGTAATCAGCAGAATTAAGATTTGTACCCAGGTCATCTGACTCCAAATTTAGTGCTTCATCCAAGTCTTTGACCAAAAATAAATAAATAAATAAAAGTACCACTAGAGGCCTCTCTTTAGATTGACATCAATTCATTAATTGACACACACTGAGTAAGGTTGTACAAAGAGCTAAAACTGACCTAACTGTAGTATTGTAAGGCCCACATTTCTTAATTCTATTAAAAAGAATCTCATGAGAGTGTCTCTCAAATGGTGTGCTGAAATCAAGCACATCTGTGGTATTCCTTATCTTCCAGTCCATTAAAAAAAGAAATGAGATTAGTTTGGCCTGACTTGGTTTTAGTAAAACATTTCCTTCTCTAAGTTCTCATCCATTTAATACCTATTTTTAGAGTTTTTTAAGAGCTCAATGTCAAGCTTACTGGGTTTTAATTTCTGGAATTAAGCTTTAAACTATTTTAAAACATTGCATTGGACATTTACCTCTGAGACAAATATACTTTGTACCCTCTTCCCTCAGGGCCAGGCCTGCTGCATCTCCAGCTTCCTGAGTTCCAGGGTAACCTGAGGGGTTGGGGTGTCTCTGTTCTTCCACTGCCATCCTCTGAACATGCAGGGAGTATATCTCAGATTTAGCTTAGTTCCTATATTGGTTCCACCAAATTTATATCCCAAAGCAGCAATACTACTGGATAAGTTCTTCCAGTGAGCTGAGGTTCCTGAAAATCACTTTTTGCTTCTTGAAGCATCAGTGCTAGGCTAGCTGCAACACTGGCTTGGGTTGTAATTCAGGGATTCTTGTGGCTTTCTCTCCCAACCAAATTGGTGAATCTGTTTCTTATGCCTAGAATGGAAAAGAATAAACAAAAAGTCTAAGGGAGTTCTGTTTCTTAGGGTCCATATGGCTTCAGAAAGGGAAAGTCTCAGGTTCTTTCCTGTCCTAACATGGTATCTATCTCAAAACAGTTACTGTGAGTTACTCCAAAGGCAAATGGAGTAGAGACAGATACCCAGAGAAGACTCAGACCCCTTAGATGTTAATAAATAGTTCTAGCTGCACAACCCCCATCAAAAATGGCTCCTCCCAGCATATAGTTAGTCAACTGAAACCAGTTTCATAATAATCTCTCCAAGGGACTTTCCTTTCATGTCATCATAATTCTCCAGAAGCAGTTGCCTAACATCCTCCTCTTGGAGGATGCTCCTTAGTGTCCTCCATGTGGAGAGATGCCATCTGAGCAAGCTAATGGGGTATGTGCACATACTAGATGCTTATCCCATCTCTATTCAACCTTCTAGCACTTTTTTGCTTTTGTTTTTACATTTTTATTTGTTATATTAAACATTTATTAATTGATTTTTAATTTTCAATATTCATTTCCACAGAAATTTTCTCCCCATCGCACCACTCCCCCATCCCAAGATGGCATGCATTCTGAATACCCCTTCCCCTAATCTGTCCTCCTTTTTATCACCCCCTCCTTTCTCTTATCCCCTTCCCCTTCTATTTTCCTGTAGGGTGAGATAGATTTCTATACCCCATTGCCTGATATCTTATTTTCCAGTTGCATGTGAAAAGAATTTTTAACATTTGCTTTTAAAACTTTGGGTTCCAAATTTTCTCCCTTCCTCCCTCCCCACCCATCCTCAACTTGATACAGGTTATAGATGTGTAGTCATGCAAAACACTTCCATAGTAGTCATGCTGTAAAAAACTAACTATATTTCCCTTCCTCCTATCCTGGCCCCCATTTCTTCTATTTGCTCTTTTAACTCTGTTCCTCCTCAAAAGTGTTTGCTTCTTGATTCAATTCCCTGAGGACTGCCCCAAGTCTGCGGAGGCCTCGTCTTTGACTGCGTTTCTATGCTGAATTGTTCTCCTCTCCCAGCCTGAGAGATATTGCACCCCAGCCTGATGCAATAGACCTTTCCAATCAACCATCCAGGTTGTCTTGGGCTGGAAATTTGTTTCACTCTGTGCTTTTGTAGGTTCTACTGCTCTAGAATTTCTTTAGAGCCATTTTTACAGGTATTTGGGGGGGTTAGGGGAAGCTCAAGAAAGTCACTGCTTTTATTCTGCCATCTTGGCTCTGCCCCCTCTAGCACTTTTCTTTCCCTCATTCTATGCATCCTTAAAGATCATTGACAGTGGATCTACAATCAAATCTGTAGATATCTTCAGGAGCCTCATA